ACTGAACTGTTTGGTCATAATGACCATCGTTACATTTGGAGGAAAAAGGGGGAAGCTTGAAGCCTGAGAACACCATCCTAACTGTGAAGCACGGGGGTGGCAGCATCATGCTGTGGAGGTGTTTTGCTGCAGGAGGGACTGGTGCACTTCACAAAATAGATGGCATCATGAGGAAAGAACATTATGTGGAAATATTGAAGCAACATCTCAAGACATCAGCCAGGAAGTTAAAGCTTGGACACAAATGGGTCTTCAAATGGACAATGACCCTAAACATAGCACCAGATTAGTTATAGAGTGTCTTCAAGACAACAAAGTCAATGTTTTGTAGTGGCCATCACAAAGCTCTGATCTCAATCCTGTAGGAAATGTGTGGGCAGAGCTGAACAGGTGTGTGGAGCAAGACGGCCAACAAACCTGACTCAGTTCCACCAGTTCTGTTGGAGGAATGGACCAGAATTCATCAAACTATTGTGAGAAGCTTGTGGAAGGAAAACATTTGACCCAAGTCATACAGTTTAAAGACAATGCTACCAAATACTACGGAAGTGTATGTAAACTTCTGACTTTGAACAAAGTAATAAAAAAATCTCATTATTCTGGCATTTAGCAAATATAAATAATTTTGGTAATCCTAACTGACCTAAAACAGGAAAAGTTTAGTCACATTTAATGTCAGACAGCAAGAAATAAAAGGTTCTGCACCTTTTTATACAGTGAATGTAAACTTTTGGTCTCAACTGTAAATAATTTTTAAAATATTTTTTGTTATTTACGTTTTCTCTCTGCTTTGATAAATGACATATTTAGTCAAATTAGTAATTTTTGAACAGTTTTCCAACATTACAGCCTTCCACTGTTTTTTGCTGCCACATTTTCAACTTGCGTGTTTTTTTTTTTAGCAATTCAAAAGAGTAGCTTGTTCATTAAAGTTTCTTCTTGCTGGACTTGTCGACTCTTTGTAGTTGAAAGCTCCACAGCAGCGTGCTGCGTTCTGACTGTAGACGAGGATTTACATATTGACAGAGAGATTAAGAACAAGCTACTTTCCATAATCACGCTGCGGCGAATTATAGAACGGAATCAACCGGCGCGACGTCGATTTACACGCGGCAGCTAAAAACGAGAGGCTAATGAGAAGATTTGATCTCATTGTACACAAGGAGCTGCTCGCTGTTCCTCCGTTATCAGCCATTAATAAATGATCTGAGAGGAAACCACCTCCGAGGAATAATCACTGTTTGTACACATGCTGGTGGCTGAAAGCAGCTTAAACAGACATCAGGAGCCTCCAAATTGAATTTCACGGCCTTTGTTTTTTAGACAAACAGCAGATTAATCCGACAGACTCTGCACACACAGAGCCTTAGAGTTGTTTCACAATGTTTGAGACAGTTTTTTTATTAACCTGTTGAAGCTGCAACTGTTTGGTTTTACTTTAAACTTTAAAAAAAAGGAAAGCTGCATTGCTGCTCTCGTATTCAACTGTGTTTATATGTTATTGTCTTAGTGATTTAAGGGAGCAGCTGTAATCCTTTAGAGTGTAATTAGATAATAAATATTTAAATAAATGGCTCCCAGTCAGCTGAGATACTGTATTAGTTTCCAATTTGGGATTTCTACCTGTTTTGGGAGATGTTGCAGGTTTATAACGCCACAAACATCTGCGCAGGAATTTTCTGTTTTTTTTTTTTGAGGAACCATCCATTGATCAAATATGAAATCTCTCTCTTGATGTCTAGAAAATATCTAGAATTCATTCTTGTATTTTATAAAACGTTTGAGACAGAATTGATCACTTTTGTGTGAGGCTTGGAATTCAACTTTTAAAAAATTGGGCTGAAAAAAACAATGATTTTAATTTGACAGATTTGTTTCCTTTATAATTCACCAACATTTTATTTTTAAAAAATCTCAGTAAAATGACAGAAATAGACTGAATTTACTATAAATTTAAGTCAGTTTTATTCCATTTACAACATGTGTAAAATACTTCACATGATAATATCAAATGTAAAATAATACAAAACATAAGATTTTTACGTAAAGTTACATGGGAAGTACTTGATACGAGCTAAAATTAACAAATATTTAATAATTATAACAGTTTTTAATAACAGTGATTTTACATTTTTTCAAAGATAAATCTTTTTTTTTCAACAAACATCAAATATTCAAGATTTTCATGTAAATTTACATGCAAATTAAATGCAACTGAATTGTTGGTTTTACAGCAGTAGTTTGACATACATACAAGATTTTTTTTTTAACGTAAAATTATGTAACAAAATTCAACTAATAACGGCAATTTTTTGCTGTATTAACTCTGAATATTTGTATTTTAACATTATTTAACCACATTTATATGTCATTTCATTTTTACACAAGTCAATGTCTTTCAAAAAACATATAAAAAAAAAAAACACACTACTTAAAAAAAAGGCTACGAACTATTTTTAATTCTACAAAATTACCGTATTTTTACACGATTGTAATTTTCTATTATTTTACAGTAGTTCTTGGTGCCCTTGGGGTTTTTTTGTTCACTGTTTTTCTTTTTATTCTTTTTATTTGCTGTGTAGCCTTATAACAAGAGTTATTCTAAATTACAAGGATTTATTTATGACGTGAAGAGAAAGAACTTTTTTGACCGAATTCCAAACTCACTGCTGTTTCTTTGATGTCAGCAGGTGCTTCTGTAGCTTTTCTTTCACAATTCTACCAAACCTTGAATCTACTACACTTGAAGAAAACTAAGTTAGGAAAAACTGAATTTAATTTAAAGGTAACTGTAGACACACTATTAATTGCATCCTCAAACGCGGCCTGTCAGTTAGACTTCAGAAATGAAAGCTGACGTTAGGCATGAATGCACGAGCGGCGGAGAACATTAGTATCATTTATGTAAAAGCATCTTCTAATGAATTCTTCAGCAGCAATATTTCCACAGAAGCTCTCCAGAGGCTCATTTTTCTTTACAGATCAGGTTGCAGGGGGTTTTCGCTTCCACCCCGGTGAGCTGGCATCTGCAGAGAGTTAACGCCTGAAAGACAAAGTGATCTTTGAGCAACACACTTCAGTAAAACCAGAGCTCTGCCTGCTGTTCAGGAGTTTCATCCGAACTGCAGCCTGGAGAAGCAAAAACAAGCGGAGCCGCCATTTCTGATTCGCTGCGGTTCGATCCCGCCTTATTAAGTCTTCATTTCCAAGTTACAGTTAGTTTCCTCGGTGATGACATTAAAGTCTAGAGAAAGTTATTTATTGCGTTTCAGCGCTGATGACAGCCTCATAAAAGTCCTGATTAAACTTTTCAGCTTTTCGACGATTTCAGACACTTTCATAAGAAGCCTTCAAAGTTAATGAATCAATATTGAGGCTTTCAGGCTTTATTGATGTGCACACACGAGTGCCGAGAGGGTTTCAGAGGACTTCAAAATATCATGTCCATGACTCATTGAGCCTCTTTCATGTTTGGAAACTCATTTTCAGGAATTATTAGTTTCGTGAAACACACTGTTGAAGGATTTTTGGGAAGCGTCAAGGAAGGGGAGAGTCACCGCAGCGTGTCTGACAAATTAAAAAGAAGAATGACAATGAGATTTCATTAGAAATAGAGCTTATTGCGCTCTAGTCACAGAAAAGGAAAATCTCAAATCTCGCTTGACGCCTAGAAGATATCTAATATTGCTGTTCTGTCAAAACAGTACAGTCAGAGTTCAGCAGCTTAGTGTGGAAATATTTACGCTGAAAACAAATCTCCAATTTCACAGAACTTCTCTTTTGATTTCACCTACTTTTTATGCTTTATTGGCACAAAACGAGCAATAAAATTACAAAAAGAAAACAGTGCCAACTCACAACATATGTCATCTCAAGCCCCATCAGTCATGTCTAATGTAAAATAACCCAAAAATAAGATTCTTTACGTAAAGCTGCATGCAAAATCTCATACTACACCTGCTTGATTGCCTGTGTGGTTTATTTAATGTAAATATATGTAATAAATTCCAGCACTTTTCTGCAGTATTTACAGTTTGTCTTTTTTTTTTTTTTTACACAATATCTTTTATAAAACATTTAAAAAGCCATAAAACACAACTATATGTTAATGCTAGAAAACTCTTCTTCTGTTATTTTACAGTAGTTTTTGATGCTCCAACTTTTTACACAGTATGGTCACAAAAATGTCAATAAAATTACAAAAATAAACTGAATTTACATGTTAGTTTAGATCACTTATATGTGTGTCACTTCAGTAGTCATGTCAAATGTGAAATAACATTTAAAAAAAAAACACACACACACAAGCTTTTTCCGTAAAGTTACAAGTACAAGATACAAAAGATTTAGAATGGAAGTCCATTAGAAACTGATGTCATTGCACTCTAGTGACAGTTAATCACAAGAAAGTCAGGAGAGTAAAGAAGTGGACCGATGCCACGTGAAGACTTGATCAAATGAAGCTTTTTCTTGTTTATTAATTTCTCCTTTTTCGTGCACATGCATCATGTCCTCACCCGAGGCCACCTGACCGCCTCCCCGGTGGGAGTGGCGGCTCCACGGGGAACTCATCATCACTTTAAAGCGCACCAGAGACTTGGCACAAAAGAAGCGCTCGCAGGCGAGCAGAGGCGCGCAGGGAGTGTCTCTTATTACACCGGAGGGAAACACCGTTTGGCACTTTGCGCGCCGCCTTGAAGACTCACTGAAAATCAGGGAGGGGGAAAAAAAAACAACGTTTGAGTTGAAGAAACTTACTTTTTGTTTTGCACCTGATGTCTCCGGCAGCTCCGCGGATGTGGATGGAGTCATTACGCACCGAAGCTGTGGCACAACTCGAGGTTTGGCTGTAGACCTGAGAAGCGTTTTTTGCTCCAATCTTGTCATTTCTTTCTCTGAACAGTCACATGACGCAAAGTTTTGCTCGGAGTCCAGGTTTTGCGGAGAGACTGTGCGCCTGTCAGTTGGAGTCTTGTTGCTGTTAACCCGCAAAAGGAAACATGAACGTTTCTCTTTTCGACGTGACCCAGGGCGCGCTCTTCAACGGGACCCTCGCCGGCACTCTGGCTACCGGCAACGGCACCGCCAACGTGGTGACCGGCGACGGAGGAGGCTCGCTGGTGCTGCTGCAAGACGAGCGCAAACTGTTCGTGATGCGGGTGGTGCAGATCGCGGTGCTGTGCGTGCTGTCGCTCACCGTCATGTTCGGGATATTTTTCCTCGGGTGCAACCTGATGATCAAATCGGAGAGCATGATTAACTTCCTGGTGAAAGACCGGAGACCCTCCAAAGACGTGGAAACTGTCATGATCGGGCTCAGCTAGTGCACCGAGATCAGGTACCGGGAAGCTTTTCCAACCGCAGGCTGAGGTCTGCATCTGCATGTACTCATCAAAGACGCTCTGTGTGTGTCCTCCTGAGGAAAGATATGCAAAAACTTCACATTTCCTTCCAAAAAAACAAAAACAAAAAACGACTGCAGGAGAGTAGTCCAGCGACCAATATGTGTGCGTAAAGTTTGTGCGTAAAATCCGGGCAGTTGTTTACACGTGGGCCGATCTGTTGAATCTTTTGGAGTGAATTTCATATCGCCAACTTGAACAAAGTGACGACAATGTTTACAAGCTGTTACCTCATTTTTTTTGTGGGTTGGTTTTGTTTTTCTTTTTTGTAAATGATAATGTTTTAAAAAATCTGTTCCAAAAGCATGATTGTGAATTCTTATAGTTCCACGCCTGCCAGTGTTCTCCGTGGACGTGATGGATATGTGGGTATTTCTCTATACAAAAGTATTTTATTTTTCTTGTTTGGTAAACACACTAACATACTGAAATCTTGACGTTATTTTTTTCCCCAACAGAACTCCGTCACAGCTTTATGGAGTGGTTCTGGTCCTGTTTGGCATGCTCGCTATTTGATCTGTGAGGTGATTTTTTGGACCCGTTTTGCACTTTTGAAATCACTGATGCTGCATGAATTATTTTGTACCAAAAATTTGAAATTGCAGCATGCAATTAAAACGTTGAAATGAACATGTTAAGCTTTGTCATCTCTTAATGAACTATGTCTGATTTAATAGGATGTGTTTTAGGAAATCCAGGTTGAGTTATTTCTCTTCTAAAACTGCGTTTGAATCTTGAAACTTTAAACTCAGTTAATTCAGAACTGAACCAATCTCATAGGAAACTACTTTTTATCTTTTAACAAAATTTAATTAGACTTTTCTCTGCACATCTCATCAGATTTGCTCTTTACTTATGCACAATATAAGAACATTAAATGAACATAATCTACAGCAGGTGCAGTTTAAAACAAAACATGAGATAAAACTACGCAAGCAAAAAAGGAGACAGAAAACACCCAAAACAAAACACAAAAGGATAAAAACAAGACATAAAAGCATTAAAATAGATGTAAAACAACACATACAAGACACAAAAATAGCACAGAATCACACAAGCAAAACATCAAAGGAAAAAAAGAGACAAAAGAATAAAAATGGGACATAAAACAACACAAATGAGACAAAAATGAGCCACAAAACAGCACAAAAAGGGCACTAAATAACACATAGAGGACAAAAAAAAGACACAGAATGACAAAAACAAGACACAAAAGGATAAAAATGCTATGTATAACGTCACAAATGAGACACAAAATGACAAAGATACAAAACAGGCACAAAATGACCAAAGCAAGAAAAAAAGAAAAATGAGACAAAACAACAGAAACAAGACACAAACTGACACAAAAAGGCCCGAAATCACACGAGCAAGATACAAAAGAAAAATGAAACAAAAACAAGACACAAAAGGATAAAAACTTAATTTAAAACGTCCCAAAGGGATTAAAACGAGGTAGAAAATGACACAAAGGAGACAAACAGACAAAAATAAGACACAAAAAAGGTACAAAATGACACATACAAAAGAAAAATCTGAAATGGAAACACGACACAAAATTAAAAGGGCGCAAGGTACCCAAAGAAAAACGAGATACAGAACAGCCGTAATAAGATGAAACACAAAACTAAAATCCACGTTGAAGGTATTGTCATTCAAATCTTTCAACTTAAAACTTGGTTATTAATTCAGAAGTGAACCGACCTCTGAGGAAACTAATTTTTAAACTCCAATCTGATCAGACTTGTTAAATGACCCTTTTCTTTTTGCACTTTTTTCACTTAAGCAAAAGACGAAACTATTAAATGAATACAACAGCAGGTGCAGTTTAGAAACTGGCTGGATCATTTTTATAACAGTTGAAGTACATACAAATCATAAAAGCTTAAAACGAAGACAAAGAAAAACTCTCAAAGCGCTGAGATCACAGGACACAGTCACACTTAATAGAGTACAGCTTGGCATTTATTGTGGCTTTATATAGATGAGAGGAAGCCGAGTTATCCAGCAGGCTGAGCTCATGCAGGCTTTAAAACGTAGAACGTGACCCCAGCTGCAATCAAAAAGCATTCAGGCTCACCTTGACCACTTCCGTTTACCAGTCGTGTTCAAATTTAAGGAGAGATTCAGGGGAAAAAAAAGTTCAGCTTCTTTTGTTCCCTCAGAAAGTGTTTAAAACAGGAACCTAAATGTAGCCTTGCTAGAAGCTGACCACAATGCAGCGAGAGGGATTTCACACAAAAGGGGACATGAGGACATCCAGGAGCTGCCATTGTGCTCTCAGATACTTTACCTGCCTCTAGATTACGAAGAAAAAAAAAATACTTCTCTTTCTACTTCAGACAGAGAGCGAGGCAGAAAGTTTCCGAAAGTCTCACATATTAGCTTTCATTGTGCCCAGCTCTGCATTTTGGTTCAATTTCTCCTCAATTTCTCCCGCCTGCGTCCCTCCTCGTCTCCCACTCAGAAGCAACCAATGTTCTCATTATTATTTCAGCACTTGTTAGGAGAGCCGAGGAAGATGAATCCTTACAAACACACCCATGCATTCACACATGTGCCCATTCAGCGTGCACACATAGGACACTGATGTGCACCAGAGCGGCGGATTCCCACAAAAGTGTCTCAGAAAAACAACATGAATAAATAAAACTCATTAGATAATTAGACTCTAATGGCGAAGAACAGCCCCTACTCTCTATTTCAGACTCATGCAGAGACGTGAAAAACGCAGTGTGATTAAACACACGTGCAGACGCGTCGTTTTACAGCAATTACGTTATAAGAAATTATCGGAAAAATACGAGCAGATTCTAACTGTGGAGTTCTGTTTCTTTAAAATGAAGTTAATAACTGTCATTTTGTGGCAGCGTGAACTGCACAAAGTCATGACACGTTACGAAAAACACATCAAAAACCACACACTGAATGACACGAGACACAAAGTGACAAAAACGAGACACAAAACAGCAAAACGTGAGAAACAAATGACACACAAAAAAAAGAGCGAGACAGAAAAGAAAAATGTGACGCAAAACGAGATAAGATTAAATAAAACAACACAAGCAAGATGACAAAACACAAACAAAACACATTTAAAATGAGAAAGGAGACACAAAAAATGAGACTAAAACGACACACAAAACAAAAAGAAAAGCACAAAATGACATGAATGAGACAAAAGTAAAACTTCAGAGGAGAGAATTTCTATTCAATGAATTCCTAATAGTTTTTCTTTGCTCTAATCTTTTCCTTCACAGCTCCTATTAGATCCTCTGGGTTTCTAATGAATGCTCGTTGGAAACCTGCATGCTGTTTTGGAGGAAGTAAATCTATCACTCCGTTCTTCACTTTAGTAGAAGCCAAGACTCTGCATATGCACAGTTTAGTTTAGATGCTGAAGAAAGTGCAGTTCATTAGTGAAGACTGAAGGATTTGGAGCCCAAGAATCACAGATGCATATTGTTTTGCTGTTGTCAGTGGATCTAAAGGGTTTTGTGGCTCCGCTACCTGCAGGTCCTGGTCACAGACTGTGTATAAAGATGGACAAAGCAGGTAATGATGCCAAATTGAAGCCCATCGAATGACTTTGTGCTGGATGTTGTATTTTTTTGGCTGGAACCAGAACTTTCCAAATATCGGAAGCGTGTTTGAGCAGAAACACTAGAAATCTGGTTGAAGCACGTAGCTAACAGGCAAGGTGAACAGTACACATTTATTTAATGCATAAACTATGTATAAAAGGCATTAAAACTGGAAAAAATTAAGTTTGAAAAAAACACCAACAAACAAAATGTAACCTTTAGAGCTTCAGCAAAAAGCACTGGGCTTCTTTTGGTTCTTGAAGATGTTTTACGTCTTGGGAGGCTTTCAAAAAAGATGGCAATGGTACAACTAGGTTTCTCAATGGTATTTCATAAACCAGTGGTAAAGTTATCATCCATTTATTGTGTACAGTTTACGTTCTGGCCATGTGTGTCTATCCTAAACTGTACGCCATGTAAGACAGAAATCATCACAATCAGGAGGATGCCAGTATCGGCAACGCTTTCTTCATAAAGTGCTCACTGTATATAAAAGATGGATGTAGCCTCCATGTCTGTGAGGTGAAGACTTAAACCTGTATTCTCTCTAACAGCCACCAGGGGGCGACTCACCCGATTGCAAAACAAAAGTCAGCTTGTATAGAAGTCTATTAGAAAATGGCTGTACTTCTCACCAGACTTGTTGCCTTAGTAACGATTGTCCCAATGAGTTAATGGTCTCAATCGCAAGTTTAAAGACTTTATGACTACAATATGATGGTCAGTTTGTACTTTACGGCCCCATTCGGAGTAAACAGATGATGAAGAAGGTTATGTTTAACGGTGGGATTGACAGGTCAGCACCATATTGCTGTATCCTCAGGTTCTTCCAGCGTATTACCTTCAAAAGACCAAGAGGGCAGCAGCCCAAATGCCAAACTCCAGGCTTCACTATGGTAGTCCGCAAACGAGTGCCTGTTGTCACGGCGGCAATGTCCATCTTTTACATACAGTTCATGGTGTAAACTCAGACTAATGTCAAACATTTGGTGCTCTTTCTGTAACACCCGAGTTTGTTTGCAGTTTCCAAGGTGCAAAATGTTGCTTGACATTTTGAGCCACGAAGATCAATCCCATAGGTCATTTTTGGCATCTGCTCATTATTGACTCAGGGTTACGTTTCATTATGTCGGTGCCCTCTAGTGGCCATGCAGGAGCAAATTGTTAGGTGAGGCGATGTAGTTGTGGTGGCCTCATATAGGGGGAGAACGGGGTTGGTGATGGACCAAAAACCCTTGGACGTTAGCATGTTTTATTTTTTGTGTTTAATCAATGTTTTTTTCAAACCGTCTCTAACCTGAGCTGCATATCGTAGCTTTGATGACATATATTTCAACCCCAACCCTGATCTTTCTCAACAAACCCAAGTTGGTTTTGGGTGGAAAATGTCTGCACTATATTTTCTACCTGGCAAAAGAGGGACTGCGATTCATTCAGTAAATAACAGACTTAAATTGTATGTAAATTGCATGTGAAACAAATTCAGGTTGATTTGCAGCTATTTTGCATTAAGCAAATATGAAACAGAAATCCAGTCTGCTGAGGGAAGTTACGGATATGCAAAACTATAACATACCTATTTGATAGCGCTCGAAATGAACATATATCAACATTTGCGCTCATTTTTGCATTTGGACATTTATTGTTCATGCACAATTGCCACATATGAATGATTCAGGAGGCTGCAGGATTTGAAAATGCACCCAACAGTTCAAAAATACACTATATTTATCTGAATCTTCTGTGTTAAGTCTTGCTACACACAGAAACGTCTCCTCTCTTGACTTGGCTGCATGTCAATTAAAATTACTCACCCTCTTGCCTGAGATCCAATTAAAGTTGTCACACTATGAGCACCTCGAGTCGCCCACTGCCACTGAGGCATATGCTAAAGAGTTAGCATGGAGCACAATCCATGTGTCCGCAATCTGTCGTGGAAATGCATCGCCATAGCGCGTCTCCACGTCTGCAGTAATCCTCGCTGGAGAGCAAAGACGTGCGATGCTGTGGGCCTCGGTCGCTTTACAAGAAACCATAATTATGACA